ATACTATTTTTCTATTTCCATAGAACCGAGTATGCAGTTTTATTTATTCAAACTTACTTTCCATATGCTGTACATTTAATTTAAAAATGGCTCGGTTTTAAGTTATGATTAGCAATAGGGCGGCCCTAAGTCGCGAATTTCATAGAACATGCTTTTTTTTTTTGCTAATAGCGGTCGCCCTCGGCAGGCAATGGCAAACCTCCGAGGGTATTTCTGCCATGAAAAACAGCTTCTCATAAAAATACAATCGCCGTTCGGAGGCGGCGTAAAACTGTAGGTCCCTCCCCTTTGTGTGACAACATCAAGGCGCCCCCCACAAATCGGAGGAGAAGCTCGGCCAAACACTAACATATGTGTAAGCGCAAATCTATTATTATTATTAATTAATTTCTCAGAAACTATTAGGTTTATCGAAAAGTGATGTATACACGGTTTATGGAGAATTGTATTAGTGTAATAACAATATCTGGTAAACTTATCCATAGAAAAAAATTTAACTCGATTTTCGAATTCAGCGGGCAATTCTATAAAAAAATTTGATAATGGCATTCATGGAGCATTTTCGCTGTAGACCAGTCTTAATAAAAAATAAGAACAATTAAATTTTTGAAATTTTCAAATGCATGCAAGTAACTCCCTCAAGTGCCCAAGGTATTTATTTAGAAAAACAACACACATCTTTCTGACATCGCACAATAAACAATTTCCAGACTCATGAATCCTTAAGGTTCAACAAGGAAAATACAAATTACAAATTTTAAGCATTTCTACTTTTTATTATGGCTTGGATTGTATGTAACTACTGATATAATCATATATGTATACATTTACGTATATGGAGTTACATCTTACAGGTAAAAATAGAAAGGTGCAAATGGCGATCCTTTAGATTTTCGAGCAGAGCTGCGCGCAGTGTGAGATGCTGGAGCTTTTTCGAAGGCAACGTAGCATGTTGGATCTCTTGCAAGAGCTGCATAGGGTCCTCGGGAAGAGCCAGAGGCGGCGTAGGGTGTCGGAGCAGGTGCTGGTGCTGCATGGGATCCTTGAGAGGAGCCATAGGCACTGTAAGAAGATGGAGCAGGTACTGGTGCCGCATAGGGTCCGTGGGAAGAGCCAGAGGCAGCGTAAGATGATGGAGGAGGTGCTGGTGCTGCATAAGATTCATGGGGGGAGCTTGAAGCTAAGTACGTTGATGGAGCATGGTGTCCGTGGGAAGAGCCAGAGGCAGCATAAGATGATGGAGGAGGTACTGGTGCTGCATGGGGTCCGTGGGAAGAGCCATAGGCAGTGTAGGGTGATGGAGCAGGTGCTGGTGCTGCATGGGATTCTTGAGAGGAGCCATAGGCACTGTAAGAAGATGGAGCAGGTACTGGTGCCGCATAGGGTCCGTGGGAAGAGCCAGAGGCGGCGTATGGTGACGGAGCAGGTTCTGGTGTTGCATAAGATTCATGGGCGGGGATAGAGGCTAAGTACGATGATGGAGCAGGTGCTGGTACTGGTTCTTCATAATGTGCTCTGGCAGAGTTCGAGACTATGAAAGATGTTGGAGCCGGTGCTGGCGCTGCATAGGATCCCTGGGAAGAGCCAGAGGAGGTGTAAGATGATGGAGCAGGTGCTGGTTCTTCATAATGTGTTCTGGCAGAGTTTGAGCCTATGTAAAATGTTGCAGTTGGCTCTGGCGCTGCATAAGATCCTTGGGAGCCAGCGTAAGAAGATGGAGCAGGTGCTGGTGCTGGTTCTTCATAATGTGCTCTGGCAGAGCTCGAGTCTACGTAAAATGTTGGAGCAGGTGCTGGAGCTGCATAAGATCCTGGGGATGGATACCGAAAGGACGCAGCATTGTGTACAGCTGGATTGGAAGAGGCGATTAATGCTCCAAATAAAAGTATGAAAAACATTTTTAGCAGACCTAAATTGCAGATCAAGCAAATGAAGTGATTTACTCAGTCGTAGAACTGTTGTACTGAATTGACGGCTGTTGTAGGCTTTTTATACATTACCTTACTGCTAGGCCAATTAATTAATATTTAGATAACTTTTTACTGAAGAAAAATGTTTAGTAATTATATTAATAGATAATTGTATGGGCCTCTGAAGCGCGATATGTCTATACTTGCGGGCATAGGGCCAATGTATGTAGGTGAAGTGTATTTCGCTGTAGCTCACGTGGGCTATTTATCTCGCACTGGCCTTAACTACACGTACATATGTATGTATGTACGTGCTTCTGAGCTTTCAATAAAAAAAAATATATATATTTTATCTACGATTTACGACTTCTTCGGAGCTTAATTTACAAAATAAATTTAATTATTGTCAAACAAATTTAAACCAATTTTGGATTTTCTTGGAAACGTTAAATTTTATTAGAGTGTCTTTCCCTCTGAAAAGGATACGTCGGAAGTCACGTAGGAATAGCTTATTAGTTTCATTATTCTTAAGTGAAAAATAAGACTCAATAACATGTATTTATTTATCTTATCTTTTTACATTAAACGACCAATTCTTGTACAGCCAATCCTTGTACCAAAATATATATTTATCCACAGGTTCTTCGGAAACGGCTCCACCAATTTTGATAAAATTTTGTACACATGTAATATTTTTCATTATAAGGTTATCAAAATAGGTATTATCTCCGAGAACCATCGTTTAAGGTTGCCACCTATTTGAAATTATTTACCAATTAATTAAAACATCATTATATAGGTATCAAATGGAAGCTATTTTAAAACTCCATAATTCAGAAATATTTTTAATAGGGTTGCCACCTATTTTTAGTCGCACATTTATTTAATTTTTGTTTAGAAAATAAAGGATACTGTACCTTTATAGATACTAAAAGAAATAATGCTTTGCATATATACTAAGTACTAGGGTTCTTGTGGCATTTACTTAGGTATGTACACATAGTTCGTTTGCTTTTCAAAAGTGAGGTGTCAAAAGATAGGGCTTGGCCTGTATATGTGGAATAAAGTTTTATTTTTCTTTTAGACGGGTTGCCACCTCTTACAAATTTGATTAAAATTATTTAATAAGTTAAATGAATTAGATATTAAAATATGGATATCAACAGAAATGGGTTTGAAAGTGCTTTACTTCTAAACTAAAGGTAGAAAGGTTACCACATGTTCAAAAAATCAAATTCACTTTAATTAAGGGAATAATGTAACTGAAATATGTATATCAATATGGATATCAGACAAAAGAAAAAATTTTACATATTTATCAAGAAATAAGTGAAGAGTAAAAACATTCCTGAGTTAATTTAAGAGACCAGTAATTTAAAAGGATTGTAATTAGCACAAATCAGTGATTCACAATATATGTATTTTTAACAAAATAACAAATACGATGTCGTAAACCTTTGGTTTGACACAATTATTATTTTGGTTGAACTAAATTTGAGTTTACAAATAGGTGGCAACCCTCTTCGTAATATTTGCAAGCTAAAACCTACTTAAACCTCTTTCGTCTGACTTCCATGTGGTGATACCATATATTTCAATAGCCTAATTCCTTTAATTCAAATGGAATTTGATTTTTTAAACAGGTGGCAACCCTCTGCACACGGTTACGAAATAAAATCTTTTCGTACACATTTCGGTTGATACCCATCTCTTAATAGTTCATTTAACTTATTAAAAAAATTAATTTGATTTTTCAACGGGTTGCAACTCTTAAAAAAAAAAAATAAACCTCTATATACAAGTCAAGCTTTTTAATCTGACACTTCATTTTTGAAAATACTACGAATCGTGGAAATCGGATGGTACTGACAGAAAATTAAAAAAATCATTTTATGCATAAGAAGTGCAAAAAATTAACAGGTTTTAATTTCTTTTGTCGAAAGCTAAAAACCCGTACTATTTAATAAAATAATAAAAATACAAATATTTTTTATTCATTCCATTAAAATTTACCATTTTTTGAAATTTTGATTAAAAAATTGTTTTGCTGGAATACCGCAGGGACACCCTGTGTTTAATTTTATTCCAAAATTTGTATTCCTGTAGTTCCCTACTATCTACACACAACACATTAAAATAATAAACAAAATCCAATACAACACAACATATCACGATACAAAGCAACACAACACACAACAATACCACACAACACAAAACAACGCAACACAATACAATACAAAGCAATACAACACAAAAAAATACAACGCAACACACCACAATAGGTTCATTCATTATCTTTTTGGACTAAAATCTAAAAAGTGTCAAAATGCCAGAGCGTAAGCAAAATGCGCTCACTAAAAGAGAATAACAGGAAAAAGTAAAGGAACGCAAAAACCCAAATTTTTAGTCCAAATAATGTCAACAACAAAACTAACGTCAAATCAGAATGGAAATGTATGTACAATACACATTCACATTCACACAAGCACAAGCACAATAAACACTTACTATATCAATTATTTTTTGCCTCCTTCCAATTTCAATTCACTTTTTTTACGTTTTAGATTATTCTCACTTTTTGTGTATTCTTTAATTTCCGTTAATTTAAATTTAGTTCAGTTAGACACTTTTCAAGATTTTGCCTGCGAAAATTCTTCCGACTTCGGACTGAAGAGAGTCACTCTCACTGAGTGTTGCTCTCTCATTTTTGCTGTCATTTTCGAGTTAAGGAACGCTTTTTGGACTAAATCTGACTACTTCGGACTTTTTCTGACTATTTCTGGGAGATAAGGAACGCAACTAATACAACACAACACAACTCAGCACAACGCAATACAATACGACACAACATAACATGCCTTTCTTCAAATGTGTCTTCGTTTTCTCTTTCTTTGTCTCATTTCTATTATTTTTTCTATCTTAGTCTTTGCCATTTTTTATCTTTTCATTTTTATATTTATCATTTCCTTGACTTTTATCCATTGGTTGTAAATCAGACTTGGCCAGCGAAAGCTTTAATTTGTACTGAGAGCTTTTGAAAGCTTTGGCACGCTGTGTTGTAAAAGCAGGGCTGGTATAAAAGTAAGCAGCAGATACACAAAATTGTTGTGTGTGTATATTGATCAGCTGATTAAATCTGTAACATCTCTGAGTGTGGTTATTCTGATTTTATTTTTATTTAAGTGAAGAGCATAGGTCACTTAAATCAAAATTAAAAACAAATTTAAATTGATTGAGGAAACCAAAAATTCGAAAATTAAAGTAATTTTCACTTAAAAATGTATCTAGTGAAGCGCAGCCTAAGTATTTAGGTTTACCTTCCTCTTTGTCTTTATATTTAGGCTTCTTTACTTTTACTTTAATCTTTGCCTTTATCCATTTCTTCTTCTACATACTCAACTTTACCTTCTTCCTTGTATGAGCCAGCAAATGCCGAAGACATGATGAAACATGTAAGAAGTCGATCACTATGTTCCGTATAAAAAAAAATATTAAATTTCATACACACTTCATATTTACAATGGCTCTTTNTGAAACATGTAAGAAGTCGATCACTATGTTCCGTATAAAAAAAAAAATATTAAATTTCATACACACTTCATATTTACAATGGCTCTTTAGCAATAAAAAATTACCCTCTTTCAAGAAATTGGGCGTGGGGCGCCTATATACATTCTGAAAACATTTATTTTGTCCGGTTTGGTCAATATTTGAAATGTATATTTTTTACAAGGATAGAAATAATTCCGCAAAAGTTTTAACCATTAAGTTGCGCAGCGGTCGATATATTCCAAAAACCTGCATCTATTTATATATATGCATATATGCATATCTCTTCGCTTTTTTGTGTAAATAATTTCTTGAAGACCAACAAAAACCATTACCACCTATATTATAGATAAACTTTTGGGGCATAAATAAAACATTTGTTTTTGTTTTTAGTTTTATTTATATTTTAAATATAGATACATATCGACTTGGACTCATATTTGAAAGGCAATAAATAGCAGAATTGGAGGCAACATAAGATAAAGGAGCTGCTGTAGGGGCATGTATCGTTGCTACATTAGATCCCTGGGTAGAGTAGGGTGCAGCGTAGGATGATGGCTCTAGTGGTGGGGCTGCATAAGATCCTCGGGAAGAGTCTNCCATTTGTTTTTAGTTTTATTTATATTTTAAATATAGATACATATCGACTTGGACTCATATTTGAAAGGCAATAAATAGCAGAATTGGAGGCAACATAAGATAAAGGAGCTGCTGTAGGGGCATGTATCGTTGCTACATTAGATCCCTGGGTAGAGTAGGGTGCAGCGTAGGATGATGGCTCTAGTGGTGGGGCTGCATAAGATCCTCGGGAAGAGTCGGAGCCAGAGGAGAGGGTACATGAGCAGGTGCTGCGTAAGATTTATGGGCAGAGCTGGAGGCAGTGTAGGATGATGGAGCTGGCGCTGGAGCTGCATACGATCCTCAAGCAGAGTCGAAGCCAGCTTACGATGATGGAGAGGGTTCATATACGGGTGCTGCGTGAGATTAATGGGCAGAGCTGGAGCCAGCGTAGGATGATGGAGCTGGTGCTGGAGCTGNTGAGCCACCGTACGATGATGGAGAGGGTACATGAGCAGGTGCTGCGTAAGATTTATGGGCAGAGCTGGAGACAGTGTAGGATGATGGAGCTGGCGCTGGAGCTGCATAAGATCCTCGAGCAGAGTCGAAGCCAGCTTACGATGATGGAGAGGGTTAATATACGGGTGCTGCGTGAGATTTATGGGCAGAGCTGGAGCCAGCGTAGGATGATGGAGCTGGTGCTGGAGCTGCATAAGATCCTCGGACAAAGTCGGAGCCAGCGTACGATGATGGAGAGTGTGTATATGCAGGTGCTGGGTGAGATTTATGGGCAGAGTTTGAGCCAGCGTAGGAGGATGGAGCTGGTGCTGGAGCTGCATAAGATCCTCGGACAGAGTCGGAGCCAGCGTACGATGATGGAGAGGGTGCATATGCAGGTTCTGCATGAGATTTATGGGCAGAGCTGGAGCCAGCGTAGGAGGATAGAGCTGGTGCTGGAGCTGCATAAGATCCTCGGGCAGATTCGGAGCCAGCGTACGATGATGGAGAGTGTGCATATGCAGGTGGTACGTGAGATTTATGGGCAGAGCTGGAGCCAGCGTAGGAGGATGGAGCTATTGCTGGAGCTACATAAGATCCTCGGACAGAGTCGGAGCCAGCGTACGATGATGGAGAGTGTGGATATGCAGGTGCTGCGTGAGATGTATGGGCAGAGCTGGAGCCAGCGTAGGAGGATGGAGCTGCATAAGATCCTCGGACAGAGTCGGAGCCTGCGTACGATGATGAAGAGTGTGGATGTGCAGATGCTGCGTGAGATGTATGGGCTGAGCTGGAGCCAGCGTAGGAGGATGGAGCTGGTGCTGGAGCTGCATAAGATCCTCGGACAGAGTCGGAGCCAGCGTACGATGATGGAGAGTGTGGATATGCAGGTGCTGCGTGAGATGTATGGGCAGAGCTGGAGCCAGCGTAGGAGGATGGAGCTGCATAAGATCCTCGGACAGAGTCGGAGCCAGCGTACGATGATGAAGAGTGTGGATGTGCAGGTGCTGCGTGAGATGTATGGGCAGAGTTGGAGCCAGCGTAGGATGATGGAGCTGGTGCTAGAGCTGCATAAGATCCTCGGGCAGATTCGGAGCCAGCGTACGATGATGGAGAGTGTGCATATGCAGAGCTGGAGCCAGCGTAGGAGGATGGAGCTGGTGCTGGAGCTGCATAAGATCCTCGGACAGAGTTGGAGCCAGCATACGATGAAGAAGAGTGTGGATGTGCAGGTGCTGCGTGAGATGTATGGGCAGAGCTGGAGGCAGCGTAGGATGATGGGGCTGGTGCTGGAGCTGCATAAGATCCTCGGACAGAGTCGGAGCCATCGTACGATGATGGAGAGTGTGCATGTGCCGGTGCTGGGTGAGATTTATGGGCAGAGCTGGAGCCAGCGTAAGATCCTCGGGCAGATTCGGAGCCAGCGTACGATGATGGAGAGTGTGTATATGCAGGTGCTGCGTGAGATTTATGGGCAGAGTTGGAGCCAGCGTAGGATGATGGAGCTGGTGCTGGAGCTGCATAAGATCCTCGGACAGAGTCGGAGCCATCGTACGATGATGGAGAGTGTGCATGTGCCGGTGCTGGGTGAGATTTATGGGCAGAGCTGGAGCCAGCGTAAGATCCTCGGGCAGATTCGGAGCCAGCGTACGATGATGGAGAGTGTGCATGTGCCGGTGCTGGGTGAGATTTATGGGCAGAGCTGGAGCCAGCGTAAGATCCTCGGGCAGATTCGGAGCCAGCGTACGATGATGGAGAGTGTGCATGTGCCGGTGCTGGGTGAGATTTATGGGCAGAGCTGGAGCCAGCGTAAGATCCTCGGGCAGATTCGGAGCCAGCGTACGATGATGGAGAGTGTGTATATGCAGGTGCTGCGGGAGATTTATGGACAGCGCGGGAGGCAGCGTAGGATGATGGAGCTGGTTCTGGAGCTGCATAGGATCCTTCCGGGGCAGATACTTGTGCAGCTAAAATCTTGTGTTGTTCAGATACTAAAAATTCCCAAGGATTTTGAGCAGTTTGTGAATGCAAATATCGTGGTGCCAGTGACCCCGTATGTGCAGAGGAATGCTTGGAAGATGCCGCATTGTATACAGCTGAATTGGAAGAGGCGATGAATGCTCCAATTAAAAGTATTAAAAACATTTTACACAGAAGTATGTTGCGGGTCAAGCAAATGAAGTGATTTACTCAGTCGTTGAACTGTTGTACTGTATTGTCGGCTGTTGTAGACTTTTTATACCTAAATTCTACGGTAATTTTGTTTATGTTTATGTAATGAAGAAAACTATTAATTCATTCAATTGTTAATTTTATCGGCTTCTGAGTAGCGACATGTCTATACCGGCAATTATACAATTGGCGTTGGCGAAATGCATTTCGCTGTAGCTCACGTGGAGCGTTTATCTCGCGGTGCCCTCAGCTGCGCTTAGGTCTGTTACGTGCTTCTGGGCTCATAATAAAAAAATGGCTTATCAACCGTGCATTGGCGTTGACTTGGCATAGTAAATATATTGCTTCGTGCATTTTGTAAGTGACCTACTTATTACAAGTCATATATCTGTAGAAGTTATTTTCATAAATGCATTTCTTAGTTTTCTAAGCTTAGCAATAGTGCAGTGGATATAACGAAAAACTATTGAAGCTCACACTATTTTTTTTTGTTTTTTCTACTTCAATTACATTTTTGCTCAAAATTTTATATCAATGGCCATATTCATCAAAATAAATAAAGAAGCTGCAAAAAAATATTTATAAATTGAAAAATTTATGAAAAAGCCAATTTGTGTATAAAGTTCTTTAAACTCATTGAATTTTTTATAAATAAGCCTACAACTCTTTATTAGGCCGGCCATTTCAGTTTGCAGTAATTCGTATGCGGCTGAAAATAGTACAAGCCATAGAAGAGGGCCTTATCCGAGACTTTATTTTTCCTTTCATTGGTGGCTTTTAAGTGGCGGATCCCAAGCCCAAGGCACAACCCATTGCTGGTTTCTCACATTAGCTAGCTTTCGAACGGGTGTCGGGTGAACCGGATGAAAAATAGTAATTTTTGGCCACTCCCTGTTGAACGGCCCCGAAAAACGGCCTTCCCACATGCGTGGACTTCAGGACTTAATTTCAGCAGCAGCGTGGCATTATTCGCCTTTCAGTTGTTCTGTTGGTTTCTGCGAAATTCCATATGATACGTACATATATACATTTTAAATGCACATGTTTGTATTTTCTTCAAATTAACTTTAATATTTTAAGTTCACGATTT